GGTGACGAAGGGATTGGGAGCCCAGCTCTTTGGGAACTCAGTTCCCGCTCAGTCCCCATCAAGGGGAGGGCCAAGCCCATTGTGTCCTGGCACTAGAGCAGAATTAGTTCTCTTTCCAGCCTCAGTTTCCTCCCTGGGGATCCAGGCACATCTAGGACTTCACTCCCAGGATGATTGTGAGGCTTCAGAGTGCTCTTACAGAATTTTGACATCAGTGATTGAAGTAATTTCTTCTGTTTACAGACTCCTCTCCTTAGTAAATGGTTTTAAATTTTAACTGATTGTGTGTGTGTGTGTGTGTGTGTGTGTGTGCGCGCGCGCGCGCGCGCGCGCGCGCGTGCACGCACTCGAGCATGCATATATGGAGGTAAGAGTTTCCATCTTTATATTGATTGCAGGGATCAAACTCAGGTTGTCAGGCTAGTGTGGCAAGAACTTTCACCTTCTGGGCCATCTCCAGGAATGCCCAGGAAATGCTTTTAAGTGAATGATTGGTTTTGATTGGCTAAATATAAAAAGTATATAGCCTTCTAACACTGAAAGGGGCTGGGTCTGGAGATGAGTAGCTGTCTAGAGACAGATGGAAATAGAGAGGGGCACAGGTGGAGGAGTGTCAGAGAGCCCTGGCAGGAGAGGAACTCGGGCATCTCATCTCCTCCCATGCTTTCCCAGTGAACAACTCCTATGTGTACATCAGTGCCCCATGTGCAAAGGCCTTTTCAGTTTTATTTAGGGAGACTGAGTGCTGGAGGACCTAGAATGAGCTCTTCTGAGGCCTTGAAAGGTGACATGTCTATTTCAAGTCATACAGCTGGCAGGACTGAGAGGAAGTCCAGGTGTGAGGCTTTAGGGAGGGAGTAGATGCTCTTCCCATCTTCTGCACACTGCTGGATGTTACCTATTTCCAGATGTGGACAGTATTGGCTGTGTGTCATCTACTGTCCAGAGGCTGTCATGCTCAGGGTCAGCTTATGCCTGAGGTCACTGAAGTACAGAGAGCAAAAGGAGGTGATTGTCTGTAGTATTGGGACTCCCACTCATGTCTACCTGACCACCAAGTTCACTTCTGTGCTCCTAACAGCACTATCCAGGCTGATGTGCTTGCAATTTTTTCTCCCCAGTCACCAGTGGCACCACTGTGTGTGTGACACTCACACACACACACATACACACACACACACACACACACACACACACACACACACACACACACGCTGACAAGTTGGCTCTCAGCCCCTAATTTATTTGAGGCCTGCAGGGTGAATATGGAGAAGGCCTGCAGACACACCCAGGGTATTAGTATCCACCTAGGAAGAACACAGCACTGCTGCTGCAAGCTGTGCTTGCTAAATGAGCACGTGGTCCGGGACCTGTGGGGTCCTAGAGCACCCTGCACAGATGCAGGAGGTTCTGGGGAGTGGTCAGAATTTCAGTCACAGAAGCTGTGACATTTGTCTGGACACTGTGTGTGACAGTTAATGGTACAAATGGAATAATAGTGGCCCGAGGCACAAGAGAGACTTGAGAGCAGTGTACAGCAGGTGCCAAAGATCTGCCTTGAATAGAAGTCAGCAGAATCAAGGCCTCACCTTGGGGCTGGAGGTCTTGCACGGCTTCTTAGAACCAGCACAAATTATAATGAGCCACGGTTAGCCTGTAGAGAGCAGTTTTACTGGGCTTTTATTACACTGCATTTGACAGATAAAGACACTGAGACCCCAGGGGCAAGGTGCCTATTCAAGGTCACAGTCTGATGAGGAGAAGAGCCAAGCTGGATCCTGCCCTGTGGCCCTTGGCAGTCATTACTGTGGCTGCTCTCCTGGAGGTAGGAGGTCAGCACCTGTGGGAAGTTAGTGTTGTGAATCGAATGAGTTCCCAATCCAGTTCTTGACCTGGCTGTCTTATCTGAGTGGTGTTAGAACATTAGTCTGTCTGCATGGGTGTGTCTAGGCTGAAGGTAGGTAGCACTCCTCCTGTTGCTGTGACTGTCTCCACTGTGCTTGCTGTCAAAGATCTTATAGTGAAGGAAAGAAGCCAAGGTCCTGGTCCTGTTGGGGACTTGCTGACTATAGGACCTTGCACGTGTGCTGATTTCCTATGGTTGCTGTGACAAAGCACCTGAGGCAGTGTCTCAAGCAACGGAAGTTTATTCTATCCCAGTAGTTCTCAGACTCCTTGTTCCCATCCTAGCTCCAGTGAACTCCTTAGTGCTCTTGGCTCTGCAGTCATCCGCATCATCTGGGGCTTTCCTTACCTTTCTGTGCTAGGTTCTCCAGAGGCACAGAACAAGCAGTTCTTTTCATTGTATTAGGGCTCTTCCTGAGACCCCGAGTGTGTGTGTGTGTGTGTGTGTGTGTGTGTGTGTGTGATTGCACCCAGGTATTTTGTCTGTGGGTTTTAAAAGGAAGAAGTTAGTTTTCTATTCATCACATCACAGATCCTCTGCTCTCTCCTGACTCTTCACCTCCCCACCTCCCCTCACATATGCCACATTTGTGAGCATGAGGCTTGGGTGGCATGTGCACATGGAAAGAGCGTGCAAAGCCACTTGCTGCGAGTCGCATGGCCTTCGACTCTCTGATCCTGTGGTGTGTATCCTCTGTCCTAGAGTGGTGGACACTGTGCTTATAGTCAGGTGGTCATTGCTTCAGGCAGATGTTGGAAATCTGAGGTCAGTGTGCAAGTTCTGTTCAGCACCCAGATCCTTGCAAATTGTAAAGACAGTATGCAGTGAGCAGTCCAGTTTGCTCCCTCTGTTAGTGGGTCATGGTTAGCCTTGAAAATGTCTGCAGAGACCTGTGGAAAGAGCTGATCTGCCCTGTGTTCTTGGTACCTCTGAGCCCAGGCCCTTCTCACTTTGTAACTCACAAGGTCTTCATAAAGACACCAAGTTTCAGTCATTAAAATGAAGAGGCTCTGATGGAAGCTTGCCTTCACCTGCTTGGCCTGCGTGAGGCCTGTGGGATCAGTTTGCATGACTGTTGAGGAAATAGCTCAGAGCTGAATCAGAAGCTGCCTTGTCTAACTGACAAGGAATTTCCTCTTGGAGCCTCAGAAGGAAACAGCCTGGTACTGTGTGAGGAGACTCCTGAGATGTGGGCCATGGGGTGTGCTTGCTTCCTTTACCCAGAGGTCATGCATGTTTAGAGGTTAACTGGATGTTGCTGCTGCCAAGGCCCCTGTGGAGAGCACAGTTTTAGATGACAATTATGTATAAGTGGAGATGGGAATAGAATTGCCTGTGTCAGGGGGAGCTGCCTTTGGGGAGATACACGCTTTTTCCCCAGCTCCCTCCTGAACAAAGCACTCTACAGAGTGAAAGTTGTAGACCACCCATGCATTTTGTGAGATTGTAATTCCTTCCCCAGGGTTATTTTTCTGGTGTTTCTTCTAGCACATCAAAACAACTCCCATAGAAGAAGTGCTTTTTAAAATGCCATCTTTCTGCTGGAGCCATTCAGGAAGCTGGTCTCGGTGGTGTCCTATAGATGTTGCAGAGCCAGTGTTGTTTTTGTGTTATATATATATATATATATATATATATATATATATATATATAGAGAGTGAGAACCCTTGTTTCATAGCCAGATGACAGTCCAGGTGTACCTATGAAACAGCTTGGTCCTGAGCCTGGGGATGGCTTTTGTCTCTGTCACTGTGTCCTGAGCACTTAGTAAGTAACTTTTGATAGTATTGAGTGTGGACTTTGACATGTTTTGGGGGCTCCAGGCTTATGGCATGCTATGAGGTCTGAGCTTAGTGTCCCCATATTGTGACTGTAATACTCAATTCTGTTCTCATTCCTGCTGCTTTGGGAAAGTCACTTGCTACTCTGGGCCTCAGTTGGAGACATTATTGGAGCTATTTGCCAGAGCACGGATGACTCAAAAGCAGCTGCATTACTGGAAGCCCCACCCCATCATGGGCAAGGGCACGGAAGTCCCATCCTGGAGCTCCCTGAACAATTTTCAGGCAGCTCTACTAGAAAGCCTCTGCCGAGCTTACTGCTTTTGTACTCACCTCGCCTTTAACCTGTAGGACGGATGAAATCACTAGAGTGATCCTATCTCTTCCCTGTGCCCCTCTTTCCCACTTGGGTACTCCCTTGGCCTCATCTCCTTAAGTGGGAACCCATGGGTAGGGCTATTCTATTTATTGGGAGATTGACATATTCAGACTCCCGGGAAGTCATGGCCAACACCTACTCCATGGCAGCCCTCCTGCTGTCCAGCCTCCAGGGCTCTTGCTTCCTAGGCAGTGGTACTTGGAAGGGAGAAGCAGGAGGGCAGCATTTGACTGAGCCTGCACACAGCTTCTGGAGGAAGGTGGCTCCAGTTGCTCAGTGAATCTGTGTTCTCTCAAGTTTCACACAACTTTCTGTACTTGACTTGAACAAAGGCCCTTTATTTTGGGGGGTTGTTTTCATAACTCAAGTAAGGAAAGAAATGGGTCATGACTACAAGACTGTACATATATTACACTGTAAATTTGTTGAGAAATACATTTGCATAGGAGAAATACTAAAAAGTTATTTCCCTGGTTGTCTCTATAGTTTCTATTCTTGGAAATATGCATCTATACTTCCATTTTGAGACAGGGTCCTGTGTATGTCAGGCTAATCTCACATCTGCTGTGAAGCTGAAGGTGACCTTGATCTTCTGATTTCCCTCTGTCTCCTCCCTGCACCAGCAGGGATTACAGGTGTGCCCCGTCACACCTGTGGTGCTTGGACTGGCAGGGCTTCATGCATGTTGGACAGCATTCTACCAACCGACACTTCTAGGCCAGATACGGTTTCTTCTATGTTGTACATGGTAAAAACATCAGTATTAATAATAAATTGCTACTTATTAGAATTTAGTAGGCACCAGACATTGTAAGACATCCCTACTACTAAAATTATTTACAAAAATATAAATAATAGCCTACTTTTATTGTTGTGACAAAGTATAAACAGCATGAAACTTACTCTTTTAATATTTTTTTTTTTTTGTAAACAGTCCAAGCTGATCGTGAACTTGTGATCTTCTTGCCCCGAGTACTTGGATTATAGGTGGGTACCACCACTCCTAGCCTCTTATTTATTTTTATCTATGTGTATGTACACAGCTGTCAGATTCCCTGGAGCTGGAGTTGTAGGTGGTTGGAAGCTTCCCAGTGGGAATGTTGGGAACTGAACTCAAGTCCTCAGGAAGAGCAGGAAGTGCTCCCTACCCCTAAGTCATCTCTCTGGACCCCTACTCCTCATCTTTTAAACTGTTTTCATATACCTTTTAGGGCTGTATCTCTGCTGTTAGATCCTTTCCTGAACTTACCATTTTATATTTGAGGAAGCTAAGGCTTGAACAAAGTTATTGGTGAAGATCACAGAATAAGTTCCAGAGGCCACACTTGAATAAGTTATAGCACTGATAGCTACTTACTGGGTACTCTGGCTTGTGGCTGTGAGGTTATCCTAAGCTTGCCCCACACTGGCTGTATGAGGCTGTTTACTTGTGTGTATCTCTAGAGACTTTACGCAGTGGGGTTGTGTATTGGTTAGGGCTGTGTTTGTGAGCCTGGCTTTGTGGTATTTCTGTGGTTGCTGAGAAGGTGAAAGGATATAGGCTGCCCGCTGGGATTCTGTCTGCAGAATGATAGAGTGGCCTGGGGCAGAAGAATGGGCTGCCACTTAGGTATGTAAGCTCAGTGAGTCTGGGTGGTTTCAGAGAAAAAGACCCTCCCTCCCTCCCTTCCTCCCTCCTTCCCTCCCCTCCCTCTCTCCCTTCCTTCCTCCATTCCTCTCTCTCTCCCTCTCTTATTTTATTTTGAGATAGATCTCCTGTATCCCTGCTGGCCTCAAACACACTATATGGCTTAGGTTCCACCTTGAACCTCAAATCTTCTGGCCTCTACATAGAACTGGCCACTGTCACCAGCTCTGTGATACGATACTGGAAATGGAACCCAGGGCCTTATGCTTGTTTGGCAGGCATTCTGAACCAAGTAATATCTCCACCCAATTTCTGCTCTCAAGTCATTTCTGTGGTGGGAATTTGGGCACATAGAGTTTAGGCAGTGTTGTGGCCTAAGCCCAGAGATTAGGATGTTGGATGGGAAGGGGGTTGAACCCAGAGATGGAGGAGGAAGTTAGATCTGAAGGGTTGGGTAAGGTGATGGCCTTGCTTGGTTTTGCGCTGCTCTGCTGTTCTGCCATTAGTGGACTCCCTCTACCCTTGCTTAGGTGGTAAGGGGGAATATTCTTCTGTGTACCTAGTATTGTATACCTGGTGCTAAATGCTCTGAGTTTCCCTGATGAGTTCCTTAGATCCACTCTGCAAGACTCACCTTCCCCTGCTGAAGCAAATTGTCATTTAGATCACCTTGCAGTCCTGTCTGACTATCTGTCTTGTTTGAAGCCAGCCTTGCTTTGTTCTCTTACCCTTTGAGGGAATGGCTGGGAGTTGTGCCTCTCTCTCTCTCTCTCTCTCTCTCTCTCTCTCTCTCTGTGTGTGTGTGTGTGTGTGTGTGTGTTCATCTTGGTGGACCCACTGTGTGTGAACACTGAAGAACATCAGGGGAAGACAGTGTAGCTCTCATAGAAGCCCGGGTTTCATGTGGGAAGTCACAGGAGGGTGAAGGCTTCGGTAGCATGAACAGGCACTGGCAGAATGAGGATAACCCTTGGTTTGCATAGGCAGAAGTGCTTTGCTGGAGAATCAGAGGTCATGAGCTGTTAGCATGCCTCTGTCACTCTGCTTTTCAGCAACTGTTTGCATCAGCGGTTTGTAGCTGGGCATCTGACTGTCTCAGCACCTTGAGTCATCTCTGCCACATGCTTTATGTGACACAGAGGATGGTCTATGCAAAGCTCTGCTGATGTCAGCGACCCTGTCTCACTATCCACTTGGTTTCTGCTTTGAGACTGGCTTGGTACTGGCAGACTAAGTAGGTCATGGATACGTGTTTTGAACAGAGTTTGGCTACGTTCCACGGATGTTTAATTTCCAGAGCAAATCTGGCTGGCCTCATTTGCCCAGGAGACTGGCCACAAGCACTCCGGTGTTTCAGGGTATATTTATAGAGTGTGAAGATGCTGGAGTAGGAGACACTGTGACTCTCCAGGCCTTCTAGGGAGCAATAGCAGAGAGGATGTGGAACATTTTGGAAGAAGGGGAGGTCTTCCTACCCCACTCTCCTAGGGTTCCTGAAAATCCTTGATCCTCACTAACTGCATGGAATCTCCTGAGAAATCAAGTTTATTTCTATAGCGATTTACATTGTTTCTGTTTTAAGTCAGTAGCTGTTTATTGTTGATTTGCTGGGTGCTGAGCTTTTTCCTCAGCTCCCCTCACAAAACCCTCACAGCCACATTGGGAAGTGAGCTTTGAAGGAATGGCTGGAGATCAGAGTGGAGTAGTCATTTACTCTCACTCTTGTGTGGAAACAGTGGGACCAAAGACACCCACTCAGGGCTGCTAGCCAGTGTCTAGCCTGTTTTTTTTTTTTTTTTCATTGACTGTTTTGATATCCTATGTGGGATGAGTGCTTAGTTGAGGCTTTGTGGCCTGTTCTGGCCTTTTTTGAAGGAAGGATGGCTCTGGGTATTGGGGACCTGCCCACAGGGAGGAGGAGGTAGGTACTCTATCTGGAGTATGAGGCCGTGGTTTTTTCACCCTTCAGTGACTTTTCTCTTGCTTTGCTGCTTTTCTTCTGGTTTCCTCACTGACTGAGGGCAGTGTGGGTTAAGACCCCTGCACTGTTCAGATGGTAGCATCATTGCTTCACACTAGTCCAGTGTGTATACTAGCTGTTGACCAGACTGTTCAGTTTGCCCTCCATCCCTCCCTCTCTCCTCTCCCTCCTCTCCCTCCTCTCCCTCCTCCTCTCTGCCCCTCCCACTTTTCTGCCTTCCTGAAGGTTTGAGGAGCAAGTCTATGTTTGGAGGTGGTTGTGTGCTTAATCTTGCTCTCTGGCTTTGTCTTCAAAGCTGGTTGCAAAGTCCTGAAGGGAACATTGCTTTTCCAGGTTGATTGTGTTCCAGGTTGATTGTCTTATTAGAACCTGGAGGCAGTCTGCGTAGGGATTGACTTGGATAACATTCCTCAGAACCATCATGGTCTGTCTCCATTTACAGATGCATTTTGTGGTAGCCAAGCACTTAGATAGTATGCTTTCTTTATTCTGTGGTTTCTTCTAGAAACTAAAACCCTACCTATCACATATCCTTTCTGCTCCCCCTGGATGGTGAGTCCTTCCATAGCATGTCATCAGAGTCTATCGTATCCTTTGGGATAGGGCCTAGGCCCACCCCCCGTGTGTCTTGGCTCAGGGAGTATTCCTCTATGTGGAATGGGCTCCCAAAGTCCACACCTATGCTAGGGATAAATACTGAACTACTACAGGAGGTCCCGTAGATTTCTGAGGTTTCCTCACTGAAACCCATATTCCTGGGGTCTGGATCAGTCCCATGCTGCTATCCCAGCTATCAGTCTGGGGACCAAGAGCTCCCCGTTGTTCAGGTCAGCTGTTTCTGTGGGTTTCACCAGCCTGATCTGAACCCCTTTGCTCTTCACTCATCCTTCTCTGCAACTGGATTCCAGTTCTAGAATATTTTTTAATTTCAGCTCACAGCAAGTCAGCCATGAACAGCTCCTATTGACTTGAAACAGAAGCAAAGTAACAGTCATTAAAAAGGTTTCTCCTAGAAAAAAATCTGAAGAGGTGTCTGTTTAAAACCGACTTGTATTGTCCATGGGTACGCCTCCTCAGAAGCTGCCTGGGGTTTGCTGGAACCAGCAAGCATCTCCATCAGGAGCAACCATAGCCTCCCAGAATTTCCTGGCCTTGTGAGTAGGGCTGGCTACATGCCCTTTCTGTGCCCATAGCCTGTAAACTTCCAGTAGTGACATGTATGTATAAGAAGCTATGGTGAGATACAAATGAGACTGTGCATGTGAGTCACAAGACCAACTCATGGCTTGCCATTTGTCTTTAGTTTTCTACCAGCTTAACTTAGAAAAATCACCGATTTTACTCTACTAGCTGAGACCCAAACCCTCTCCTTTCCCAGAGGAGAGTAGGAGTGATCTATTCTGCAGACTTTTGCAAGGAGACATCTGCAGAGAACCCTTATTTGGGGGGCTGCTTGTCCTGTTTGTCATGGATAATCTTGGTTGTCAACTTGACATATCTGGGAAGAAGGAACCGCAACTGAAGAACTCCCTCCATCTGGTTAGCCTGTAACACCAGGCAAGATGGCCTGGCCTGTTCCTCCATAGCTTCTGCTTGAAGCCCCTGCCTTGAGTTTCTGCCTTGGGTTCCCTGGATGGCAGACTATACTCTATAAGGGGAAGTAAATCTTAAACCGCCTAAAGCTGCTTTTGGCCATGGTGTTATCACCACAATAGAGTGCAGACTAGAATACCCATTCCTTTTGGTTTGGGGTCTTGATTTCAGCTTTGAACCTAAGTTCAAAGAAACCATGGTAGCCACATGACCTTAGAAATGCCCAGGCCAGGACTTAAATGAAGTGACAAGGGAGAAATTGACTA